CGATCGGGAAAGCAGCTGGAGATTCGATTCTGTCGCAGCCATTCCCCCCCCCCTCTATAAATATTTATTATCCGCAAACAGGGGCCAAAGGGAGCAGCCCCTTTGCTGGAAATCATGCAACGAACTCGATCGTGAAAGCGTTCGCTTGTACTTTAAACGATCTTCCTCGGTATACTGTATAATTCAGTGAAAATTTGAATTTATCGCCGGCTACCACGTTTCCCACGACCTCTCCCCTCCCTCCCTCCCCCAACCCAGCCCCTTTTCTCTGCTGAGAGAAACTTCTCTCGTTGGCATTCCGGTCTTGGACGACCGGCACCGATTAAACACAGACGCGCCACGGTTCAGTCGAATTCGACGAGTCATTTGGAAATTATATTCATGACTCAATGTGTTTTCGCCTTTTAATCTTAAAATTCGGTACGTAGTACACTGTCCGCTACTGTACAGGGTACCACTATCGAGAAACTGTCATTTTGCTCGGGGACGGGGGATACCACTGGCCACGTATTACAGTATTACCCAGCTAGTGAAATAAGCATCGGGGCCTCTCTCGGTCAATTTTCCCGCTCGGGCCGCGCGATGGTAACAGCGATGGTTACGGTAAACAGATTAAACCTGCGCGCTCGAGACGAGTCACGCAGGTGAACACCAATTGCGTTCATTACGAAGGTAATCGGGTGCACCTGAGCCAGCGCGACCGCGGTACACGATACGGTGGCGAAAAGTATGTACATCGACATCGTTGGCAACGAGCACCAACCAACAACTGCGACGCAACTTACACGTCGACTTGCTCGTGAAAAAGAGAGCGAGAGAGCGAAAAAGGGAAACGACAAGAGGAGAATTCCAACCTTGCGCGAGTACTTCGCAGAGAAATCCAAGATCTCGGCGAATCGACGGAATTCCGATAGGAAAAACAAAGGGGCGACGAGGGGAGGGTGGTGCAGGGCTCGACCCGACGAAAATCTCGTAAAGGGATTTGCAGTTTGAAATTTGGTCGAACGAGGAGGTCCAGATCCTGGATACTGGTTCGCACAATCCTCCCGACGATCCTTTACGATTTCGTCGCGGCTGTTAACGGCCGTAACGGGGGCAAAGGGGGAGGGGAACAGGGGCCCGGAGGAAAGTTCTAAGCACGAGCAGGCTACATTTGCATTTCTCGACACTTAGGTCCGAGCGGCGAGACCGGCGTTATGCAAATCCCGATTCGTCTCGACGGCTAGAAAATTCGTAAAATTACCGAGCTTCCTCCGAGCGATAAAGTCCCCTGGAATATAACTCGCGTGCCACGCGTGGACTTTCATCCCCACCTCAAACGCTCGCGTAACTGGCCATCTAGACCATCTAGCGTTATCGAGGACAATCGGCCGTTAACGCTGTTATTAAAACGAAAATTGCGCGACCACGTGGCTCGGGTTCAACCGTCCATTTGTAAATTCCTTCCCTCTGCACTTGCCCGTTAACTAATTGATAGCCGGCGCGCAAGGAACCATGATATTTGCTGAATTAAACAAAACGAGATACAAACGTAAAACTCATTAGCAAATTATTGCACGAACCAACGTAACCAACGGAGCATTTGCATGTAAGTACACACGTGGTAGGTCTGCGTTAGAATCAAAGGCGTGAATTAATATCAAATGCCGTATCGGAACGATAAAGAACGAAACACGAGTGGCTGAAAGATTGTGCGTTGTCGAAATTTCGTTCAATTTTTTTCGAAATACGAGATACATGTCTATCGTGTCGCGACTGCGTGATTCAATCTTTTTTCTTTCTTTTTTTTCTAAAAGGACCGGAATATCAGGTAACGAATTCACATTTTCGTTTTTCAACGAGTGTACACTTTCATTTGCAATTTGTTATTCCAGTCCATTTTTCTTTTTTTTTTTTTTTTTTTTCTTTTGCCAAAAAACAGTTCGAAGTTTTAATTATTCTGGGATTAGGAAACTTTAGTTAAAAAACATCCTGAATCGTATGTTCTCTAATTTGTATCTATGAGATATCTGATTCGTTGATTATATATAGTTGAAAATATCAGTGTTTTGCAAAAAGAAATTAAGGAAATATGCGAGATTCGACTCTCGTGGAATTGAAGACGAAACGGAATTCGTATGTATACGAACTCACCGAGTAACTCATTCAGACCTAAGTGACGTTTCAAACTTTCAACCCGAGAATTCGAAGGAATTTTCGCCTTGTTAACGCGTAATACACGGAATCACGTGTATCTTGTTCAGTCACGTGTATCGTGTAACGCAACACTACATTATGGTGAAAAGCATAAGGATATTATCTTGTGAACAATAAGAACCACATGAGGTAAGATTAAGTTACCGACTTGCAGTTCCTTCCATACTTTCGGAAGATAAATATTGATCCTCTATTGAGAAAGTTATAAATTTATTGCTGCACATCAGGTACAATATGAAATAACGAGTGATTATTTTTATAATATACTGGTATATTACAGAATTTCATATTGCGTGTTTTCAGTAGTAAGGAATCTTTAGTCAATAGTGTAATCTTATCGACCAAGGATAGAATAGACTACGAGATATATATCTCGTCGGTGGGATAGACATGGTACCCAATGATGGTATCAATGATGATATCATTTCACGTTCTGAAATACCGACCTCGAAAAAGATTGTCAAATTTTATACGGCCCTGTCAATTTAACTCAATCATCGAAAACGATAAAAACGATCCTCTACAGTATTTCAAAAAGCATTATACATTATCATGAAAAAAATTAAATCTACAATTTTTGTAGATTGGAATCAATGATCATATCAGCTTGACAAATCTTTTAATTAGCAACTCATATTTGCTTTAATTAGCAACTCATATTCAATATATAATTCATAATTGTATCATAAAATTATGTAATTAAAAATTTTGTATTAAATAAGAACAATTGCCCGAATCTCATTATTAGAGACCCATCCCATCCTCCTTTTACGTACAAAAAATGCGTTTGTAAAATGAATTTTACGAGAAAGCGTAATTTCAATTTCTTATTATAAAAAATTGGTAAAAATTTAATAACATTAATAATTTAATAGCACGATAGTTTCGAAATAAAGAAATAATTCTGTATAACCGAAATATAAAAAAATGTATTCTTCAATCTATTTTACTTTCATCTTGGTAATTTAAGTCCACAAAAAGATTGCAAATTTTCATGCAATACTAATAAAAAAAAGTCGTGATTTGCTCAGTATGATCATGAACAAAAGACAAAAGACAAAACACTGGATTGGTCGAAAAACAAAACAACTACTTGATTCTACTATAATAGGATATAGAAAATGGAAATATTACTATTCACAGGTATAGACGATTCGAACTTTTAATTCTACGACATGATTGAACGACTAAAGAAAGAAAAATGCATGCAACTCACCATTAGATGTGAAGAACGATGTTATCAATATTCCAATAGCTCTCGTGAATAATGCAGGATATGAAAAATCTTTAATGCAACATAGAACGTTACAATTTCTTTTCAAAGACACTGTATTAAATATTTGAAAAGTTTAAGCTAGCTTTTGATAACAATAGTGAACTTTGAAACTTTAATTGCAGTAAAAATTGAAATTCTAATATATAAAAACTTAAAATTTTTAAATCTAAAGGTTGAAAATCGTATGATTAGTGTTTTCCTTAAGTTATCTTAGACTTGTCGTCGAAAAGATAGAAATATATAAAATATATAAAAATACAAAGAATCAAATTAAATGAAGTACTATGTGCAAAAATACTTACATCTCTGGCATTGGTGAGTCTTGCATAGAGTGTAGAAGGAAATAGAAGTTGTGAAAAATCTACAACAAAACATGTTGTTAAATATTATGAGCAATAAATACATCAATTATTTTAATAAATTGAAACAATGAAAAATATAATTTTAGGAATATTATATTATGCAAATTGTAATAATAATAAAAACTATAATCCCAATGTAAAAGCTTGGAGTGTAGAATATAAAATCTTATAAAAAAGAGAGAGAGAGCTACTTTGTTTTCATATTTTTCTTCTTCAAATGCATATATACATCTCTCAAGTACTGTCAAATCTGCATTCAAAATCATCGAATTGAAATTGGCGCCTGTATTATAAATCGGCGTGGTCTTTCGTAGTCATTATTGTAATCAACCTGTACAAAAAGAGAACCAAGTAATTAGAATACATGTACAAGATTGAGGTGAATTATATATTAAAATGAAGCAATACTTGAACTCGAATTTTATATACACAAACAAAAGGGTGTAACGCGAGCTATTGATAATTCTATCTGATCAAATAAGAGATTGACGAAAAACGAACAAAAAATGTTTGAAAACTGTCTAACTTCATGATGACGTTTAGCAAATTATTAAACAAACGCGTGATAATTAAACTAATCTAAAACAAAATTGTAAGGAAAGTACTACATAGTTATCACTTCAAACGTAGACGCAAATAGAATGGCATCTGGCGCCACAGCATCGCCTAGCTGCTTTTCTATTGGCTGAAACAAAACGGTTTGTCTTCCAATTAAAACCGCGCGTATATTCAAAATGTTATACGACGAAGAAACTTGATTCAATTAACTATAACAATTTCAAACCAAGTAATTTGCTCGATACAAAATAAGTGATTTCTTTTCTTTTTCAGTAAATATTATATCGAATATTTTCACAGTTAACATATTATATTCGTGATATCATAACGCGATATATAATTAACTCTTAAGTATCTAAATTATTTTTAAGAAAAATAAAATTTTATTCAAAAAATTACAGACTAGGAATTTTAGGAACGAATGAGAACTTTATTTCTAACCTAGTAAGTCTGACTATACGGAAATGTATTCCGATCATGGAAAATAATAAAATCAAGAATTATGTATAATATAATATAACAACGTCGAATTTTAAAAATATAACAACAGCTTTTATTAATTAAATTTAAATTTAAATTTAAAAATTTCTTACCTTATTTGTAGTACTGTAGATTTGCAGATTAGATACGATTTGTTAAATAAATTAAACAATATTACAGATTAAATCAATATTTTTGCGAACCGACAATAATTTATAAAATTCTAGTGGCCAATTATAAAATTACATTTATAATTATGCTATGAGAATTATAAAGTTAATTGTAATAGTATTTGATTAAATTAATTAAGATTTACACTCCGAAAATTGGTGTTTAAAACTTTTCGGTAAATACATTTATTCTGCTTCTTCAAACGGCTGTGAAAGATGTATCAGGTGGAATCTAAATCTGTCTTTTGATTGGTCGGAAGAGGAACTCTCCCTTTTTTTATTCAGTCTCATTCGTAAGAGAAGCCAATCGTTTTTTCGTTCTGAAAATCACATCCTTTGGATATATATTTCATGCTTGAAGCCACATCCGTAACGGAAACTAGAATCTAATGTGAATGATTAGACTTTTTGTCTCGTTTGACGCAATGAAGGTTTCGTTGTCCCTTGATCCACACCCTCGAGATACTGTCATTAAGTCTTCATGTATTGGCATCACTGATGCTTCTTTCCAGATGGTTTCTCCAATGACTAATTTGCAATAGTCAAAGTCGGAAAAGAGTGCTTTTAAGCCGGTGCATGTTCTTGAAATGATTCTTTAAACTTTGGTAAGACCACAATCAAAAACTGAAGAGGTTCTGTGCTCAAACAATGTTTATCTTCGCATCGATATTATTGGTCGTTTACTCAATGTTTACTCGAAAAAATACCTACCGTTCAGCATCAGTAATTTAGTGAATTTGAAATGAAAATCTCGTTAAATACTGTCTCTTCTGATTCAGTTACTTATGTCAGTTCTGCTTCAGTGTGTATATAGAATATATTACAGTTGGTCGTCAGTTACGTCTGCTCTCGTGTCTCTATGATATGGGTGTACTTGTTCACCACACGATTTTGTTTTTAAGTTGTTAAGTCACCGTACATTACCCTCATACTCAACGATATTGATCGGCGAATTAAAAATATAAATGACTTAAGGACTGATCTCGTGCTAGAGTGCATGCAAACTTGGCACAAATTATCGCTCACAGAGTACGTATTACTCGTAACGATCTAGTCAGAGAATTAATCTATCAAAACGATTCTGATGAATGACTCAACAAAGAATCATCGCGCGAAATTCCTGAAAATATACGAACGCGCTTATAATATAGTTCGCGCTTTCTGATAAGAATTAACAGTTGTTAACTCTACGTTTAGTATTTTATTTGTTTAATTGGTCGTCACATTTTTGCCATGCAAAATTGATTATAAAAGCAAATTTTTATATTGTAGACAAAAAGCGATTACTGCTTTAAGTTAAAACTTTCATTGGAACAAAAATTACATAATGACAGAGTATAAACTTGTTGTTGTGGGATCTGGAGGTGTTGGCAAGTCTGCGCTTACAATTCAACTAATACAAAATCATTTTGTGGACGAATATGATCCTACTATAGAAGACTCTTATAGAAAACAAGTAAGTTTTCATTATATAGCAGTAGATAGTAATTATTCAAGAATACATATTTATGTAAAATATTCTTCAACTATAGGTAGTTATAGACGGAGAAACATGCCTTTTAGATATATTAGACACAGCTGGTCAAGAAGAATACAGTGCAATGAGAGACCAGTATATGAGAACTGGGGAAGGATTTTTATTAGTCTTTGCTGTAAATTCAGCTAAAAGTTTCGAAGTTTGTTGAGCTTCCTCTTTCTTAAGATTGTTATATTTTTTTTTGTAATAATTGCAAAAATGTGCTTGCACATTTTTAATATTTTAGGACATAGGAACATATAGGGAACAAATAAAAAGAGTTAAAGATGCAGAGGAAGTACCGATGGTATTGGTAGGGAATAAATGTGATCTTCAGCAGTCTTGGGCAGTAAATATGACACAAGCAAGAGAAGTTGCCCGTCAATATGGAGTGCCTTTTGTTGAAACTTCAGCTAAGACTAGAATGGGAGTGGACGATGCGTTTTACACATTGGTAAGTGTCATATGATTAATTGTATGTCTTATAAGCTATACAGAAACCAATTGTCATTTCTGATAAATATAGTGCAAAAATTTATAGTACATATATATATATTTTTTTTTTTTTTACTGGATTGCAATTAATAAATTATAGGTGAGAGAAATACGGAGAGATAAAGAGCATAGAGGTAAAGAAAAAAAGAAACGTATGAAGACAGGTAATACAAGCCGTAGGAGACATCGGTGTTGTTTGCTTTAAATCACCAAATAACGTTAATTCTCTCATTCAATACATTAATATGGAAATAGATTGTAAAGAACATCAGATTATATTCACGTTCCGCACATTTTTGCAGCTTCCTCTATAGAATGTTGTAATAAATTACAAGCACAATTTTTTTCTATACATTGGGAGGGAAAAAGAACAAAATATGTAATAGTATTGTATTATATTACATTTTTACTCTTGAAGTTAAATTTCATAAAATACATTATTTGTTTAACAGTCTGCCATATAACTTTTAATATTCCATTAGCAGAAGAATTTTAACCCTTGATTGCATAGAATAGTCAGTATCAAAAAACTATTTTTTCGGCCATACACCTGTTTTATTATTGAACATGGAAAAGTATTATCTAATAAAAGAATTCTTTTGTAGTATTATGAGTGTAAAAAATGTGTAATTCATTGAATTTCATAAATTCGATTTTCTATATTTTATTCGTATAGTTCATAATTTTTAATTCATTGATTAATAAATATGTTTTTAATTTTTATCTCTATATTTTAATGTGCATAATAAAAAAATTTCATTTTTCTAAACAGAGAAACGTATCAAACTCGAGAAACAAAAACGTGAATAACTCATTTTGTGCTGTGATTAAATAATCTTAAGCATGCCATGTTAGTTAAATATTACTGTGATTAAATATGCAATTTTCATATAAACGCCAATTTAGTAGTACATAGGTTTATTCGCGTTTCCTTTTTTAGTGCAATTAAAACCGTATATTTGAGATTTTTATGCCTCTAGAAACTAACAAAATAAGTCGTTAATTTCTATTCCAAAGTTTTTATATGTTTACGGTAGGGAAAGATTGGTAGATACGAAGTTATTGTATGAATATAAAACTCAAAAAAAGAAAACTGTAACTTAAGGATTATATTGCAAAACTAAATAAAAGTTTACATTGATATTTGAATGTCTATAATCACTGTCAGATAGTAATAAAGAAATATCGCATTTTGTCACATATTTTTATCTCTTCATTTTGTCATTTTTTAGTCGTGATTCTATTATAAGAAATGTGTAATTTTAAAACATTATAAATATTAATTGTAAACTTCTATTGTAATTATACACTTTGATATTTGTTCAGACAATAATGCCATCACATTTTAACGAGATATGTATCTGTAACATGTGAAAAATCAATTTTTTCTACAAAATCAGTACAAAAGTATTTCATGGAATGTTTAACTCTTTGCGGTCAAATCCCAGGATATTCCTGGCACGAGTATATGATGATTATTTAGGCAATCAAACTTAACACTGTTTATCTTGTCGCACTATGCACTATTTCTAAACATTTTGTGGATATATCGGTTGGAGGAATAGTCATTCTTTCAGTCAGTTGAGTATCTCGTACTTATTATTATTTTTTTATTGGTATTTATCTAATTTTTTGGTATTTATCTCGTACTTATTATTATTTTTTTATTGGTATTTATCTAATTTTTTACATTTGTAAAAATTATACCCTGAAATGTCTAAAAGGAGTCAAGAGCCTAGATTATGAAGATGTGCAAAGCATTTATGAATTATTATGGCGAGCCTGATAATTATTGATGACTACAGTGACAAATAGTGATAGTAATATAGTGTCTAGAAACCAGGATTACAAATCGGGGATTGTTTTGAAATCATACCAAAGAAAACTATAAATCTGTATAAATATCGAATACCAAAATAATAATTAATATGTGCTCATTCATTTGAGTAAAATTTATGTTTTTTTAAAATAATTCAGAGTACAATTACCATGCCTACAAAAAATACGACTGCAGAGTTAAAATTTCACTTGTACATACATGTCTCGTGTCTGACTGAATTTTGAACAATCAAGGGTTAAATATTTTGCTAAATAATTTAAGTAGTACAATTTGCAAATAAAAACGCGCAAATTTGTAATACTAGCTTTTTCAAGCATTGAAGATGTGTATATATAAAATTGCACAGCATAGGTGTTATTATGTAGTCAAATTCATAATAAAACTGTGTACAAAAAGTGTTCTTTATATTCATTCTGTCTTGAATGATTGTCTTAAATATTAATTATAGGTCATCTATGCTGTTTGGTTTTATAAATTGAAAGAGCAATCGACAAATCGTTGTCTA